ATGGCAATATGGAACCATCTAGTTATTTTTCTCAAATGCTAACTTCATCAAGGGCTACAGAGAATTCAAAATCTGACTTCTCATTTTTGGCCTATGGAGTGTACCATGAGTAAAAGAGTCGGTACAATCCAGTGTGTGAGGGGCTACTAACATTGCTCCTCATAATCTGAGAAAGCAATCGCCATTGATTAATTACAAAAATGTCCCCGATTCTCCTCCCAGCCTGGTCCCCCTGCCCTTTGCAATGTGGCATTCAGTTCCTTCCTTCAAGTAGTGGAGTTCATTTCTCCATCCCTTGCATTTTGGTGCATTGTGACTTGCTTTGGCCAATAGACTGCAGCAGAGGTGATGGTGTGCCCCCTCTGAGGTTAGTCCTAAGAGGTCAACTTGGGCCAGCCAGCCATGGCTGACCTTCCAACTGACCACAGACAGGAGAGTCCAGCTAGGTCTAGCTCAGAACAGCACAACTGCCCAGTCTACCCATGGACTCATGAGACACAATAGTTAACTGTTCTGTGTCATTAAATTTTAAGGCAATGTGCTGCACAGCAGTAGTGACACAATCTTGGCTGACATTATGGTGAATGATTAATGCTCTAAATAAAAGATATTTTCTTACATTCCTTTTTGGTCATAGATTACAGCCATTATTATCATTTTTGCTATGTCATGTGAGATGCAGTTCTCAGTACTTCATACAATTAACTACAATTAATGGCTTTAAAATTGTAGATTTTTGGTATAGTGTGTTACCTAAATAGGAGATCTGAGTCTAGCCACAGTCTTGTCATTGACCCTCTGCATTAAAAATATAGTTCAAAGGATCAGCACCATTACAGGAAGGTGGTGGGAATATTACAAGTGATCCAGGCATGGGGTGACAGGAGCCAGATGAAAAGTGAGGTACATCATGAATAGGCAAACTCTCTAGCAACCTTTTCATCCTCAATTGGCACTTTGAACTGAAATCAACCTCAAAAGCTCAAGATGAAATGCATTCAGAAAAATGGCTAGTATCTTCAAATCATCATGAACAGAGAGATACCAGCTGGGACATTGGTCCCAGAATGCTCTTTTATACATGAGCAAAGACAAACATCTTAATACTCTTTCTTCCTAAAAACCAAAACCTAATTGCTGAGCAGACTGTTTCTAGGCAAAGAAATCTGAAAATAACCTAGTATCCACTCTTGCATTATTTGAATTCAAATGACAGAAGAAACCATATACTTTTAAACATGGGCTCTCAAAAAACACTGGTGATCACAAACACACTGGTGATCATAACATATTCTACAACTTGGAAGAGACTGTAAAATAATACCAAGACAAAAAAATTCTATTCTCTTGAGCCCTGCAGGATGACTGTTTTGGTCCAGGGGTAGCCTCCACACGAACTCTTTTCATGAAGACAGAGGCAACAGTGGGAGAAGTCACAGTTCTTACTACTTTTAACCACAGTCATATGTGTTTCCAAGGCCCTGTCCGCAAATACCAGCATCACTAGTTGCAAAGAAACACAAAATTTTAAATGAGAGTGAATTTCACACTTGAGGCAACAGGCAGCTTTGCATTTGGATATGACATTCAGAGCTATGTTAAAATACTACTTTGCATACAGATTATTGAATGCTTTGTCTTGGAAACCAATTCATGCTCTGTATGCCAGGACCAAGGGAGAACTGGCGATGCTGACTGGCAGAGACATTCCTTTAAGCTACAGAATTCCAAGAAGAGATACTGTTTCCCCCAAAGTATTTTTCTTATGAAGAAAAGAAACTGGTAAACCTCAGGGATTGAGTCACAACACCTGCAATGAGAGTAATAAACCCTTTGAAAGACATAGAAATTTTCCCCAAATTGGTAAAGAAATAACTGTAGAAATTTACACATTCATCCTAAGTAACAAAGCACAGTTCACCAGATTATCTTAAATGTCTGAATACTTAAAAAAATTAATTGTCATAATAAGTTACTAACTATTGAGATATATCATTTGAAAATTCGTATAGCTGTTTTTCTACAGTAACTTTACAACAACCCATCAACAGAGATATTATTATTATTCCAATATGGAACATAAGGAAAATGATGTATAATTCACCAGAGGTCCCATTAGAAACACATTACTGATTTAAATAAACAGTTTGAATCAAACCATTCTAATGCTGTTTTTTTGTTTCCTTCCACATTCATCTTCATTCATATTTTGCTGGCTCTATGATACATAAAATCAGACTCCTTTAAGAACAAAATAGACTCCTCTAGACCCTTTTATATTTCCCTTCTCTCTTTTCTGTGACCTCCCAGTTCTCAAAATTCTTCTATTCTTCATTTAGATAACTGATTTTTTTAAATTTATCTTCTTATTTTCAAGCTCTTACTGAGTTAAATTTCATACACCCCATGAAAACAACAGATAAATTTTGGACAGTGAAGACTTCGTCACAACTGACATACCTCTGTTTGGTCCACCAGTTAGTAAACTATGTTACCCAAGGTTCAAGAGGTAACCTGCCTACTTTCAGGACATCCATCTGTACCAACCTTCTTTACCAACATGCACACTGCCATCAACTTATCATTCAATTACTGTCAATGACATTTGAGTTAACGTTTATGTATATGTGTTTCCAGAAATAAGAATTTGGGGCGCCTGGGTGGCTCAGTGGGTTAAAGCCTCTGCCTTTGGCTCAGGTCATGATCCCAGGGTCCTGGGATCGAGCCCTGCGTCGGGCTCTCTGCTCAGCGGGGAGCCTGCTTCCCTTCCTCTCTCTGCCTGCCTCTCTGCCTACTTGTGATCTATCTGTCAAATAAATAAATAGAATCTTTAAAAAAAAAGAAATAAGAATTTAAGGTCAGTGAAGATGGGATTGGGTCTTATACTACGTGTTCTTTTCATAGCAGATGCATTGTTAATTCGGATAACTAAAAACCACTCAAACTCTTTGACCTCAAAGCTGACATGTAATTAATCTTTAATGAGTTATTAACATTCTATGCAAAATTTTATAAGGCCTTGCTAAGGATTAATAAAATTATTAAAACTTGAAAAATTAGTCCTGAACAGATGAGTGGGATATTTTACTATCTTGTCAGGTGGATAACGCACTTGAATATTAAGTGTGTTGGGAATGCGCCACTTGACAAGGAGTGGCCCTTACAAACATTTGCATGGTGCTCTTAAACTCTTCATCATCTGACACATAGTCTTTTCATATGTTTTCATCCAGAATTGTCTTACTTTAAATTTTAAAAATATAAAATGGAAGAGAAAAAAATACATAAAATTCAAGAGGGTACAATATTAAGACTGCACATTAAATACCATGAAGAACACATAATTCAAGATTGATGGCAATAAAAATGTAAAAGACAAAACACAATTGGAATTGGCTTCTTTACCATTTCAACAGCACTGTGATATTCAAGTGGACATTATTATTTCCTTTTAGCGAATTTTCCAAGTTTGAACAAGACAATGGATTGTGAAAAATCGTTTTGTAAAGTAGAAGACATTAAGCAGTTTTTATCATGATATGACTACTAGAGATGTAAATCGGACAGCTTGATCAAATAGTTTAAATTACAGACCTTCCCCATAGAAATGCGAACTTCTAAGTCTACCTTAAATGGGGTAAGGTAGTTGGCGGTATCATTTTGCAGTCTCTCAAATTTAAATTACAATTTAGCAATATCCAGTGAAATCTATGATGGAAATACTTCAGATTCTATAATATAATGAAATATAATTCCCTGGTAATAGCTAACACACATTATTCTTGTGGGAATACACAGGCGATTTCAAGGATATTACAGAACTTCTTCCTTAACGTTTGAAAAGTTTCAGATTCAGCTTCCCAAACACGTTAATTATGTGGAGACTCTCACTAAGGTAGACATCCAGGAAGTCTGAGCTCTTGGCTGTTGTACTAAAGTGAGGCACATTAAGTGGTCTGCAGGCTTTCTTCTCTTTCTTCTCTATATTCAGACAATTGATTAATGGTGGCACAAGAACACAGTAAGATTGGCTGTATCTTAAAATAGCAGAAGGATTCCACCACCCTTCCCCCAGTTTCTTAGGTCTGTCATTTTATTCTAGAAAAAAGCAAATACAGAAGTCTCTGACTGAGCATCACCATTGTCTCTGAAGCCAGCGGGCACTTATATCTCAACTTGGAAATAACTATTATGATCAATCAGACATTTAAAATTGAGCCCTTTTAGAAGGGCTGTTTGAAAATTGATTAATATGCATATTTCATTTGGTTTTCCCTTCATATTCTATCTTTTTGGGCCCAAGAGATAGAAATTATTCATAATGTAGTCACAGATACTCTCCCCTAGTGCGGTCCTAGAAAATAGACTACTGGACATTTACAAAGACTGTTAAGTATTGTTGTGCTGTCAGCTAGTTTTAGAGATGTTAAAATATAAGGAGAATTGTAACTTAGAATACAGGACATAAATATGGTAATGTGTGCTTATGTATATGGGGGGTGGGAGGAAAAGGATTTTTAAAAACAATAGAAAAATTCAATGAGTTAAAAAAGGTACTTCTCAAAGTATCTATCAGCACAATTATTTAAATACATTCTTTGCAGTTTTTGTGAAAGCAAATTTCCAGGTATTTGATTTCGTTTCCACATTAATAATTCTCATGGATTCTGAATCCTTTCTATCATGAGTACATTGGATCTGACCTTCTAGGGTGAAAGGAATTGAGAATGAATAGGATTCATCAACAGGGATAATGTATCTTGGAAAGGCAAAGAAAATTTTAAGCACTCTGTTGACAGAGTGGGGGAAAAAAAGACACGTGAAAAATTTTGCTCCCTTCATTGGTCAAGCTTTCTCTAAGAGTAGTCTACAGGTGCTATTGTGTGTGTGTGTGTGTGTGTGTGTGTGTGTGTGTGCTTTAAATACCAAATCTTAAAAAAAAAAAAATTTAAGTCACAAATTCTTTGTTTTTCTTCCCTTCCTCCACCTCTTCCCCCTTTTTAAGCAGCATATGAGACAGTGACTATCTCTTCTTCTTGGAAGTCCTCCTTTTCTTGAGTTGGATCTCTAAGTTTTTCTATTTGCTCATCACCTCTTTCCACCTTTCTAAAGCAGGAGTAACAAACACAGGTTCCTGAAGCCCCGGCAGGAAACATGCAGGAGTGAGCAGATGGAGACTCAGCAGGTGAACACCAGGGAGTGGTAGAGACCATAACCAACTGGAAAGTACCTGCCCCACCCAGAGAGGTACGAGCTAACTGAACGTAGCCATTTGTTCCCATGCAGGAATATGGTCCCAGTGTTCCCACATCTCCTGATTTTTAAAAATATTGAATCGCGTATTTTAAAAGGAATTTGCCTGCCATTCAAAACACATCTGCAAGTCAAATTTAGCTCTAAGGCTGCCAATTTGTAACATCTGCTCTAAGTAAATCTCCATCTCATTCACTGGTTTCCCCTTCTGCATATCCTTCTAAATGTAGGGTATTTATTGATTTCTGCTCATAGTCTCCATAGCTCTTGTCTTTACTGTCTTCTCCTTAGTTCTCTCTTCCAATCTGTCTCTATTTTGGTGGTTCTTACACCTGACTCCTAGTTCTGATCTTTCTTTTGAGTTCTTAGGATCTGATTTTCCAACAAATGATTATTTATGCATGTCCTGCTCAGCACGTCTCATACTGTACATATCAAATCATTGTCAGAATCAGTCATCTTTCATTTTCCACTTCTATTTACTGAAACAACTTGTGGCTTATAATATATATTTTAAAAATTTTATTATTTTTAATTTATATTACTTTGTATATATAGTATATATATATAAACATATAAACGTATATATACATATATATATTTTTAAAGATTTTATTTATTTATTTATTTGACAGAGAGGGATCACAAGTAGGCAGAGAGGCAGGCAGAGAGAGAGAGGGGGAAGCAGTCTCCCCGCTGAGCAGAGAGCCCGATGCGGGGCTTAATCCCAGGACCCTGAGATCATGACCTGAGCCAAAGGCAGAGGCTTTAACCCACTAAGCCACCTCGGTGCCCCTACATACATATATATATTTGAAAGCTAGCATCACATAGTTGTTAAGATCAGTTATTGGAATCAAACCACTTAGGTTCTAATCCTGACTCCCTCACTTACTAACCATGTGGCCTTGGGCAAATCACTTTACATCTGTGCTTCACTTTCCCTATCTCTGGATGGGGATAATCAAAGTACCTACCCCACAAAGTTACAGTGAGGATTGAAAAATTATGCACTAGATAGTAGGATACAAAATGCAATTTTTTATTTTCCCAGATTTGCAAAAATGACTTCAATGTGTGACAGGCAATTTATTCAGGTTTCACTAATGGAGTGTTAGTTTAGTTTCAGAATTCTTAGCTTTTAAGTTACATTGAGAACCTGTAGCAAGGGCTATAGATTAATTTTTAAAGATTGGTAGAGATTTTTTTGAAAGGAAGAGGTTTTATTAGCCTATAACTCTCACTGAGTATAGCTATGTGCTAAATGCCCTTCCAAAGGTGTAATATATATTAGCCTATTTAATACTCTTAATCTGGTAAGTGTTCTATTAGTCCCATTCTACAGATGAGGAAACTAAGGTAACTAAGTACTCACCTAATGCAACAGAGAGCCTAAGTGGAGGAGTAGAGGAGGTCAGGTGGTCTGACGTGCACTGGACAGTATCCTTGGAATTGTTTAATTTTTTTTTTAAATTTTTTTAAAAGATTTTATTTATCCATTTGACAGACAGAGATCACAAGCAGGGAGAGAGGCAGGCAGAGAGAGAGGTGGAGGCAGGCTCCCTGCGGAGCAGAGAGCCCGATGCAGGACCCGATCCCAGGACCCCGGGATCACGACCCGAGCCGAAGGCAGCGGCCCAACCCACTGAGTCACCCAGGTGTGTTCCTTGTCCCCTTTCCATGAATGACTTCCCTTCACTTTATGCCCAGTATAGTCCTCAGAGAGAACCCTTTGAGAGCTTGAGAAGCACCTTCTGGAAAGCGGGAGATTCGTGAGCTGGCACCAGACCCACATTTGAAGATGAGAGACCAGAGAGACATTGCCACCAAAGGCTAATTGCAGGAACACCTTTCCCACAGCCCAGATGCCCACACCATAGAGGGCATCTTGAAGTATGATCCACCAAGAAGAGGGTGGAGAATGAAGGCAGGAGAAGAGTAGAGTGAGGAGCCCACCCTCTGTCTCTTGTATACTTCTGAGCTTGAGACAGGCCGGGGCTAGCAAGGGAACAAGTTTAAATTGGATTAGGAATCAAAGTTTTGATAAGAGAACTATACTTTTAATTGGGTGATGCAATAAAAACTGAGAGCAAGGAGGAAAGCCTTGGGATCTTTCAGGGGCCTCATCTAAGAACAAAGGGAAATGAAACCACAGAGAGGCTGACCAGAGCAGGTTTGCAACAATGTTCTGTACCTCATGACTGAGATCACATTCAGTTACTCCTCAAAAACATTTAGAGTCCTCCTATTTATTTCCCAAAGAAGGACTGAATCTTCTAACGTGTCATTAGGGGCTTTTCACCATTTAGCCCTATTCTACCCCTTTTACCTTTATCTCACATTACAACCAAACTAAATCCAGTCATGCTCCTTTCTGCATGTCACCCTGCCTGGCATAAACTTCACATCATATAAATCTTCAGATTTTTACTCATTATTTAAGATTCGGCCGAAATCTTACATTTTTAATGAAGCCTTAAGGATTTCTCCTAATGAGATTAATCACAACTTCTTCTCACACATCTATTATCTCACCCTCTCTTAAAATATAATTAAAATTAGTAGTTTATACACCTTTCTCATCCACTAAATTGTAAATGAATTCCATGAGGGCGGGACGACGCCTTATCTTTTTTTAGTATCCTATACAGCACTCAGCAAATGGAGCATGTGCACACAAGGCACAATAAACAATCACACAACGAAAACTTAGTGAGTATTATGACCTGAGACCTTTCTCACTTTCAGAGCACTTGCAAAATTCTCAGGACTATCTATATCATGTGGACCTTCGTACAATTTTTGCTTAAAAAAGAAACAGTGATATCCAGACACATTAGTATCAAAAAACAAATTAGAAAAGAAATTGTTCCACATGTCAGACTGCTCCTTATATTTAAGTATTAAACAATTACAGCACTAGAATGAATACATGTCAGGTAAGTAAAAATAAATATTCAGCCATAAGTAGATAAAAATTCCAGAACACAGTGAACCGTGAGCCGAACTAAATGCACAAAGGGTCTGTGTGTGTGTGTGTGTGTGTGTGTGTGTATGAAAGCTGTGTGTATGAAAGCCGTGTGTATTGGAAGGTAGAACTTCTGGAGGACTTGCTTTGTAGAAGTAAGAATTTATTTTGTACTTTGCCAGATATTCAATTCAAGACTTGGGAAGCAAGCAGCAAATGTAATCATGGATTACTGTAGGCAGCTAGCCAGCTATATTTACCAACACACAAAGAGAATTTTAAACAGTTAGATTGGACAGTCCTATAAAACAAAAAGGACTGAGACCACTCAGCATCTGCTGAATGCCAAGAAATTTTCTGGGTCATTATTTACGTTAGATGATGAACAGGACTTATTACAGACAGCTTCTGACTTGCAGTGTCTGTCATCAGGCTCGGTCCAGTTGGACAGGCAGGTACATGGGCTAGTATCAAGGTCCCACGGAGAACTATCATTACTGGTGTGGGGCAGCGGGCGGCTTCGGCTGTAGAAACAGGTCGGGCAAGCTGTGTACAGACACACAAAAGCCTTCTCTCTCCATCGTTAAATTGAGCATAAGCTCATATGGCATCTGACATTTCAATGACGCTTTTAGCTACAACAGTCAGTCTTTTTGTGATCTACAGATGTGGTCCCAAAAGGAGAACAATTCTAATCAAACTTCTTGACTACTTGGAAATTTTGTTGGCTTGGAAATTAAATCTTGGATACAAGGTTTAATATCAATAACTATTGCCTCATTTTGTAGATAGGTACTGTTGATATGGACATTACTGATAATCTAGTCCTCAATCTCTAATTACATGTCCTTGGACAAGTTACTTAATTCTTCTGGATTCAGCTTCCTCCTTCATAAAAAAGGGGATAGTAATAGTATCAATCCAGTTAGTTGTTCTGAGGATTAAATGAGTGAATTGATGAAAAACACATAGCACAGTGGACATAGAGTGAGCACTTAATTAGCATGAAAATTGGGTGGTATATTTTCACTATACTGCATATGCCATATAGTGCTGTTATTTACTACACACTGACTTATATATTGCTATGTAAGTATTATGTTTATATTATACAAGTATCATTGTTTAATTGAACTACTTTTATATACGGAAACCAAGAGCCAGAGCCATTCATTCATTTTCTTAAGGTGGCTCTGCTATATTTAAAAGAAAAGACTGCATACATTAAAGGTGAGTACAGAAAAAAATAAATCTAACATCTTGAGAGGCAGCTAAAGAATTATAAAAGCTTCATTTTCTGGGGTTGTTAGTCTTCTAATCTTTCAAAAGAGCTTCTTCTGAAAAGTGCTTTCACAAATGGAACAGAGACCAATGAAACCGTGGTGCTGCGCATATAGCTAAAGCTTCTCTTCTCTTCTTTGCCACTGATTTAATCTTAAAAGGTCTAACAATTCAATCCGGTTTTGTGTAGGCTACTGAATATTCTTCAGTACCGTAAACTTTGTGTTTCTCATGTTTTCTTTTTTTTTTTTCCCCCACTTAATGGGTATGAACCTTTAATCCCAAACTTCTTTATTAAATTGTCAAGAATGTTCTCTAATTCAATCTAGCAAATCTTTAACGAGTATTCCTTATATATCAAGAAATTAAAAAAATGAATGATAGTTTTAATCATGTGCTAACAGACAATTATAATACAATCTGATGGGTGTTGCTATGGAAGGAAGACATTTAGTATTTTTGTTTTTGTTTGCTTTATTTACACCATACCAGAAAATGAAAATCCCTGAAAACTTTTAACAGGCCATAGAAATGGAGGGAGAAAAAAAATTCATTAGCGGGAACTACATTTTAGAAGTACATGATGCGTGGGGGAATGAGTAAAGCATGCAGGATATGTGTAAGAATTGCCAAAATGGTGCTTGGGACAGGTTGATGGTGGTCATTTAGTGCCCAAAGGTCTTGAAGGGATTTCCATTTTGTCAGGGAAGTCATCGGCAGGTCATTGAGGTTGATAATGTAATAACAGGATTAACTGTAAAGATCTAACTGAGATATTGTAGAAGGTGATAAGAATAGGAGAAAGAGCAGCT